TTTACGTAGTCATTGTAATATGGTAAAAATACTGTGCAGAGCCTGTTTCTGTCTTTCTCTAAGCCTTTCTTCTTCCCTGTTGTTCCTTGATACAGCGGTGGTTTGGGATTTTTTAGCAGTGTTAAAAGTTGAGCTTTATGCAAGAAGAAACTTCCAGTATCAATTACTGTTAAATCCTGATTCAGCCAGTGCTGGCCATTCTTTCAAAAATAAGTAATTTAGATGTCCAGAGTTCTTCAACAGCTGTAGTTTAAATTTTTGTTCATGAAAAGTCATATTAGTAGCACTAATTATTTTTAAAATATTTCATTTTCATTCTTTAGCTGATCCATTCTCTTCTTCTTTGTAAAATACTGCCAAGCAACCTTTCCCTTTTTCTGGCTTGGCAGATAATGAATGTCTATTTTCTGCTGAAATAAGAGTGTGATAAAACAATTAGAATTCTAAGAATGAAAAGTTAATTTCAACTGGTTTACATCCTCCTAATATTACTCAATTGGAATATTCAACAGATTAATGGGCTCACTAGTAATATGCAGTTGCACATTACAGGCAGAAGAACCAAATTATTCCACTAGATTTTTCTTTTTTTTTTTTTTAACATGGAATTTATCAGTAATTCTACTGGACATGTATGGTAGGTGGCAGATGCCTCAAATTAGAGACCTTTATAAGAAATTATTTTAATTCCAGTTGGGACTTTTAATTAACATTTATTTATTAAAATATATATTATATAAACATAAATAATAATTAACAGTGTTACTTTGTCCATTTTTACAGCGTGCCTAATATACTTAATTTCTCACCCACATGGGTAAAGTAGTGTGTGAAGGGTGGCTGCTGGAAGTGGAGCAGTGCTGGAGAGGTGTCTCAGCTACTCCCTCAGTCACAGGGAGACTGATTCTGGTTCTTGCTGCCAGCCTGGAGCAGAATCCTTGACTTTTTTGTGTGTTGGCATTTTTAACAAGTGGATAGATAAGTGTTCTGAACCTGTTTTAGTCATAGAATTGTTAGGTTGGAGAAGGCCTTTAAGATCATCGAGTCCAGCCATCCCCCAGCACTGCCAAGTCCACCACTAACCCGTGTCCCCAAGTGCCACATCCACGTGGCTTTAAATCCCTCCAGGGATGGGGACTCCACTGCTGCCCTGGGCAGCTGTGCCAGGGCTGGGCAACTCTTTCCAGGAAGTTTTTCCAGGTACTCAACCTAAACCTCCCCTGCTGCAACTTGAGGCCCATTGTCCCTTTCTGTCACTTGTTCCCTGGGAACAGAGTGAGGCCCCCACCTGGCTCCACCCTCCTGTCAGGAGTTGGAGGGAGCGATCAGGTCTTTCCAGAGCCTCCTTTTGTCCAGTCTGAGCCCTCCCAGCTCCCTCAGCCGCTCCTGGTGCTCCAGATCCTTCCCCAGCTCTGTTCCCTTCCCTGGACACGCTCCAGCCCCTCCACGTCCTTCTTGTCACGAGGGGCCCAGAACTGACCCCAGGATTCGAGGTGTGGCCTCAGCAGGGCCAGCACAGGGAGACAATCCCTGCCCTGGTCCTGCTGCCATGGCAGGGCTGGCACAGCCCAGGGGCCATTGGCCTCTTGCTCCCCTGGGCACAGCTGGGATCACGTCCAGCCGCTGTCACAGCACCCCCAGGGCCTTTCCCAGCTTCCCAGCCCCTCTGTCCCCGGCCTGCAGCACTGCAGGGCTTGTTGGGATGCAGGGGCAGGACCTTGTTGAGCCTCAGTGCACGGATCCAGCCTGTGCTGAGCCCTCGTGCCCTGCAGCGCATCAGCACTGCCACCCACCCTGGTGTCACCTGCAGGCTGAGCGGGGCTGCCTCGGTCCCCTGCTCAGGGTTAGTGATAAAGACATTAAACAAAAGTGACCCCAGCACTGACCCCCTGGAGCCCATTCCCAACTGGATGTAGCTCCATTACCCCCCCACTGGAGCCCATTCCCAGCTGGATGTAGCTCCATTATCCCCCCACTGGAGCCCATTCCCAGCTGGATGTAGCTCCATTATCCCCCCACTGGAGCCCATTCCCAGCTGGATGTAGCTCCATTATCCCCCCACTGGAGCCCATTCCCAGCTGGATGTAGCTCCATTGCCCACCCTCCCTGGGCCAGCAGCCAGTTGTGAGCCCAGTGAGCAGTGACCCATCCAGGCCATGAGCAGCCAGTGTCTCTGGGACAATGCTGGGGGTGTCAAAGGCTTTCCTGCATCCAGGTTCCCATCCAAACACCCCCTGAGCTGCTCACCTTGTCACAGAGGGAGATCAGGTTGGTCAAGCAGGACCTGCTTTTCCAGACTCATGCTGGCTGGGCCTGATCCCCCAGCTGTCCTGCACGTGCTATGTGGTGGCACTCAGGATGATCTGTTCATGACCTTCCCCAGCACTGAGGTCAGGCTGACAGGCCTGGAGTTCCCTGTCCATCCCTCTGTCCCTTCTTGTAGATGGGTGTCACATTTGGTGACCTCCAGTCCCCTGGGACCTCCCCAGTTAACCAGGACTGGTGAGAAACGATGGAAAGTGGCTTGGAGAGCACTTCCACCAGCTCTAGGTGCTGTTCCCCCTCAGTGGAGCAATCCAACCTGTGACCCTTACAGCTTCACACGAGTCATATTTATTGAAATGCTTTTCTTTTCCAAACATCCGTGCAGTAGTGGGAAGTAGAAAGCAAGCTGCTTTTCCTTGTCAGTGGAGTTCATTGGAATGCAGGAGCTCATACAGAGCTTCAGCTGCTCCTCAGAGGCACCAGAGCTGGATGGGAGAAAGCCCTGAAATACGTGGTACTGGCTGTGCCCCTGTGTTTGCTTTGAAGGGCTGCTGTTTGCAGGAGGCTGCCTGTTGGAAAGGTAATTAATTCCCTGCTTCACAGGTCGGGTGGTAGGGCATAGGCCTGGGAGAGCAAAAAGAGATCAAGCATCACATTTATATCTGGAAAAAGTACAAGAAGCAAACTAAAATTGAGAAGAAACCCTTAACTTTAATCAGAGCCCTGGGCAGACCTTCCACCTTCTTCTGCTGGGGCAGTACCTTTTTGTTGCTGACGAGGTTAAGTGATCCATTGAAGGTATCATTATTAAAATGCCAACAGGAGGTTATAGTCGACATGGAAGGGTTATTATATAGCTCACAGTGGTGAGGTTGGCAAAAAAAGGCACAAACCTAAGAAGGGGTGATAGTGATAATTCCTGCTTTCCTGTTAGAAACAAATTTTCCATACTTGCATGAAAAGTACTTACACATAAACTTGCTCTAGGAACCTGTGATGTGCAGAACAGTGTGGCCTCAGAGTTGGCAGGGCAGAGAGAGGTATTTTAGTGTTTAAAGGGAGAATGTGATCCTGTTTCTTTAATGGATGCTTCAGGGAGGATGATTTGTTTGTGTTCGGTGGGTGGTTACACAGTTTCAGTGTCACTAGCAAAACTCGGGCTAATTTATCATGTTGAAGTTGAAAGCCAGCTGGATCACCAGGGGAAAGGGATTAGTTTCCTGTCAGCTTCCTTTTTGGAAAAAGTAATGTGTGCACACTGAAAATATTTCCAGCTTGAGTTAAGTATGTTTGAAAATACCTTTCGGGTAGAGTCATATTTTGATGGGCAAAGAAAGAGTACTTGCTTTCAGTTTTCCATGTTTATAGAAGCATTTTAAGAAATCTAAGGGTTTTTTTTTCTCCTTCCCTTTAAAAAGTACCCACTGTTCAAGCTGGGAGGGCTTGGCCAGTGTTAACCCTCTTCTCTCCTGGTGGAGGAGGTTCAGTCAGTACTTTCTGAAGGGATTGCTGAGAGACAACAGGAGGACTTTGTCTTTTATGTTCCTCTTCGTGTGAATGAAGGTAAAATAAATACAGGACGTGGTGAGAATGTGGAATTTTACTCCTTTGGAGTTGGACTGTACCTTTCCTAAAATAAAAGGTGGAGCAAGTGCTGCAAATGCTTATATTTGGTCGTGTGTGGAGTGCTTCCTAAATCTTTGAGGGATTAAAAAAAGTGCAGTTTTGTTCTTCTGTCAATGCTCTGTGTACCCAGGGTGAGGCAGACAGGAAATACTGATGTGAGACATATGATGATGTGGAAGAGTGAGAGTGCAAATCCTATTGCAGTGTGAGAGTGCCCTACTGTAAATACAACCCAAATATGAACTGCTGTGTCATCAGGACTTCAGGATACACCTAGGGCTCAGTTTTAAAATGTTTCCTATTATGTACCACCCTTTTAATACAAAAATGTTTTTTCCTTTCCTTTATTCCTTCAGCAATAACAGCATTCACATGAAAACAAAGTGTTTTATTTGCCAGATAGTTTCTAATGTGTTTTCTTCACCTGAAAGCACGTGGCTTTCATTAGCTGTAAACAACATCCCATGGGGTGCTTTACTCCAAAGGATGCCAAAAGTATCCCATGGGAGCAGTCTTTCAGCAAGAGAGAAATAAATGAAATTTCTCCTGTAGGTACTTTTTCCCAGCTTTAGTCTCTAGCAACATAGTAGCTCCCAAGTTCCATTAAATCCCAGCTCTCCGTTGAGTAATCTCTGGGAAATGAATCCTTTTATGTCAAACTGTAATATGGGGGTAAGAAAATATTGCTTTAATTTGTCAAAGCAAGGAAAGACACAAACAAGCATCTGTCACTTTGAACAGAACAAGTTGGAAATGAGCAGTATTGTAAGAAATTAGACGTTTTTGTTCATTTTGTGCAATAGTTGCTGAGTGACTTAGTCAGGATGTTATTAATAATTACTGTGTAAAGTGAACTAGTGCTTGAAACCTGCACTGTCCTGCTCCACTCCTGATCTAAAGGTGATGCCTGCACGAAAAATTGAGATTTGTTTGGAGTCCTGCAAAAACGGTGGTGTTTGACAGGACAGCCACATTACCCGCACCAAATGTGTAACAACTTCAACCAAACGTGCTGGGAGGCTGAAAGGTCCCCGAGCAGAGCTGTGCTGTTGGTTGCTGAGGTTGGGGGGCAGCACTCACCGAGCCTCTCCTGTCTCTCGTTCCTGCAGCGTGGAGGGCGAAGCTCCGAGCAGTGAGACCGGCACGTCCCTGGATAGTCCCTCTGGGTACCCCCAAGGCCCCATAACCCACAGCTCAGCCATCAGCCCAGACCACTACGACCCCTCTCCCTACGGGCTCTACTCCATCTCCCCGGGGCAGCGGGCGCGGAGGCCCAAACTGCAGCACTCCACGTCCATCCTGCGCAAACAGGCGGAGGAAGAGGCCATCAAAAGGTCACGGTCGCTTTCTGAGAGCTATGAACTCTCCTCGGACCTCCAAGATAAGCAGGTATTTATTTGGGCATTGGTACTTGATTTGAGGCAATGGCGATGTGTCTGTAAACTGTAAATTGCTTCAGCTGTGGTGCTGAAAATGCCTTTTCTCTGTGCCCAGCTTAGTTCAAAATAGCTGTGTGCCAGCATTTCGGAGGTTTTTGACTCTTTTATCCTGTGTTGTGCAACCCCTGTGTCCCATACACCTTCCCCTCTACCTGAAGAAAGGTGTAAAAGATGTGTTAGTTTTAATAATAAAAACAGTTCTACCAGGAACTTGTGCTCGGGACAAGTAGTAGAATGGAATAATGCAAAATATTTTCCTAAGCAAATGAGTCGTTTTGAAACCTGGATATTTTTGTTGTTTCTGAATTAAAGGATCAACTTATTGCAGCTGATATTTTCTAGTATCTGTAGGGTGAATTCAAGGCATTAGTTGGCTTTACTCAACTAGGCAAAACTCCCACATACTTTACAAAGAACTGGCTGTAGATATTCAAAGCCTTTGTCCCGAAAAAGGCACTTTTGTAAGACAGTCAACCTTTCCTTTTAGGGTTTGTTTTGAATATAGTCCTATTTGAAAGACGTTTATCTCCATATGAGTTCACATTTATGATTTGAAAATGGTGCCCCAAGAGTTTAAGGTAAGCAAATACGCACTGGATTTCAGTGGTAGATGAACAATAGCCAATACATCAATGTTTTTTGGTTTGGAGGGTTTTTTTTGGTTAGAGATCTTACCACAGAATCACAGAACCCACTGAGCTGGAAGTGTCATCAGGTCCAGCTCCTGGCCCTGCACAGGCCCATCCCCAAGAGCCTGTGAGTCATCGAGGTATAGTCCACAGTCACTCCAACCTCTATGTTAATATGGTGGAAGTGGCAAAATTCCGTAGGCAGGAAGCCACCTACTCCTGATTTTGGACCAAACATTGACAGTCAGTGAAATTTATAGGGGCTAAATCTCATGTTCAGCTTAGGGAATCATAAGATGTCGTTCCAGAAGGACCTGGAAGAACAGATCTTGAGCTCTGCCTCGAAGCTGAATATCCAATATTTGGGATAGCAGGCATGAGTTTGGTTTAGCCTCCATGCTCACCAAACTGTGGGGACACCAGGTTCCTGATGCCAGCTCTGCTACTGAACTGGACCTCCCTGTGAGATCAGAGCTCTCCCTGTTCCACCTTTGGCAGTGGTTTTTGCTGGATGTCTCACCAGGGGTTGATACAGAGTGTGAAGCTTTCTGAAGAGATCTCCTGCACTGCAGGCATTCCACAGAGCCTCGTTCCATCTGTCCTTTTGTGCCAGCTGATGGAGAACGAGGACTGCAGATGTTATTTTGTATTTGTTCAGGGAGTCTCACACAATAAAAAGTGACAATGATGCATGAAGGAAGCTTGATAGGGAAGAGTTGGTTACTGCTCTCCAAAAGCTCTCCTTGAAATAGCTGAACATGCTAAAAACCATGTAGGAAAATGTCCAAGACCTAAAGGTAACCTGCATTAAATATACATTGAAAAGGTGCATGAAATAGGCATTAAAATCTATTAGAAATATTAATCACATGTCTAACTCATCTAGGCAAGTTGGAAAATACTCTCAATTTAAATTCCCACCAAACCCCCCAATTTATGATAATCAGTGATAATGTTATTTTCTGTGTAAAGCTGAAGGACAACAGCCTGTTGCAGAAATAAAGTCAAGGTAATTTATTTTATGGAATATTAGGTTGTGTTTAATTCTCTCTCTCTAGCTATGCTAGTTTACTTTTCATTAGGTTTGACATTTAGTTTTGAGGGGAGAACTGAATGGACAGTTTGTTTATTTTGAGATTAGTCCAGCAAAATAATCTCTTATGATTTATAAAAATAGATATACAGATATTCACACACATATATATACATATTTGTATGTGTACTACAAATAGAAATAGTAGCAAATGTGTGGCAGCAGTGGCAAGGTTGTGATAGATTATTAAGTTCATAATAATTTTTGAATATTTTTGAATCTTCAGAGTGCCTTACAAGTAACCTCTTAGTCTCTTTGGCACGTGCAAATGTGGGGGCAAAACCCCCCATTTGGGAGTGAAAGGCTTGTACTTGGAATTCACTTCTCTGCAGTTGTCCCCACAGGGAGAGTGCCAGCATTATGCTGCAGCAGAGCTCTGTCCTTCTGCCTTGACATGGCACACCACTGCTAATGTGTGGGAGCCAACACTTAAATGACCACAAATTGCCAACAGCACAACTCTATGACAGTATTCACACAGTCATATTTTTGTATTTCAGGGTGGAATTTGCAAATGACTGTTCAGTTCTCAGTGTTGGAGCTTTGAGCTTTTTGCTTTCAAAACCGGCGTGCGCTCTTTGAAAAATGTCTGAAAATTGCAGTTGTCCTAAGAATTTATTGGGGTTTTTTTCTACTCTTTGACCTCGTTCTAACCTTCATTAAGCTCCAGATTCCCTGTGCTCCCCCTGCAGGTGGAGATGCTAGAACGGAAGTATGGGGGCCGTCTCATAACCAGACATGCTGCTCGCACCATCCAAACCGCCTTTCGCCAGTATCAGATGAACAAGAACTTTGAGCGCCTCCGCAGTTCTATGTCCGAAAATCGCATGTCGAGGCGCATCGTCCTGTCCAATATGAGAATGCAGTTTTCCTTTGAAGGGCCTGAGAAAGTCCACAGCTCTTACTTCGAAGGGAAACAAGTTTCTGTTACGAATGATGGCTCGAAGCTGGGATCCCTGGTACCGTCTGAATGTGATGACCTCGGAGAAACAACTCCGATGAAGTCTCCGGCGGCATCTACTGATTTTACTGATGCTATAACAGAACTGGAGGATGCCTTTTCCAGGCAGGTGAAATCCCTGGCGGAATCCATTGATGATGCACTGAACTGCCGCAGTCTGCACTCTGACGAGATCCAGGCTGCAGATCAGGTCAGGAGCCGTGAAATGGAGAGGGACAGCTGCGCTCCAGCCAAACCAGCAATCCACAACGTGGATCCCAGGAAGCTTGACGAGATGACGGCGTCGTACAGCGACGTCACGTTGTACATCGACGAGGAGGAGTTGTCTCCACCCCTTCCCCTCTCCCAGTCTGTGGACAGGCCGTCCAGCACAGAGTCGGATCTGAGGCTCCGCTCCGTGAACTCTTCCCAGGAGTACTGGTCCATGACCCACAAAGACGATAAGATAGACACTGATACGAGCTGCAGGAGTACCCCATCCCTGGAATGTCAGGAACAGAGGATGAGGATGGATCACCTGCCCTTGCTGACCATAGAGCCACCCAGTGACAGCTCCGTGGACTTGAGCGATCGCTCGGAGAGAGGCTCGTTAAAGAGACAAAATGCCTACGACCGGGGCATCACGAGCCAACAGGGGAGCCCAAAACATATCCCTCACAGCATTCCTGCCAAGATCATCACCCGGGAGGAGCAGGAGGCGAGACACAGGGCCAGGCCTATAGACAGTCACTTGGCCATCAATGGCACAGCAAACAGGCAGAGCAAATCGGAGTCGGATTATTCCGACGGAGACAACGACAGCATCAACAGCACTTCCAACTCCAATGACACGATAAACTGCAGCTCGGAATCTTCTTCTAGAGACAGCCTAAGGGAGCAAACCTTGAGCAAACAAACCTACCACAAAGAAACTCGCAACAGCTGGGATTCCCCTGCCTTCAGTAACGACGTTATCAGGAAACGCCACTATCGGATCGGGCTGAATCTCTTCAACAAGTGAGTACAGCCTTTCCTCCCTTCTCCTCTCAGAAGGAACCAGGAATATTTGTCTTGTACTGGATAAGGTAAGCCTGGTGTCTGATACTGACCTTTCAGGGAGTAAACAAGCTGCTTGTGGTGGCTCTTCATGTTCAAGTACTTACAGGTTGACGTCTCCACAGTTAAACAGCTTCAGGGGAAAAGAAAAAATATAATTATGTGTACATAAATGGTAGGGAACTGTTTAAGATTAACCTGGTTCCTTTCTTGTGGAGAAACATGGTGGCCTGATCCTGATCCATTTTTTGGTGTTATAACAAATTAAGATTTCTTCCTGCCCTAATCATGTAGGTGGTGTAGAACTTGTTGTGGGAGAACTGGAAAAAACAAGCAGTGTAAGGTGAATTTCCTGAATTACACTGGCAGGGCCTAGAATTTGTTCAGTAGATTTCATCAAAACTTTGATACTGAAACCCAATGCACTGAATATTTTTTTTTATACTACATAAATATTTATTATTTATCATAAAAGTATCACAAAATTTGTATTTCTGCCTATGACTGGTAGTTGGACTGGTAGTTGACTATGTATGGAGTTGTTTAAAATTTCTGTAAATAACTTCCTCACATTTCTTTGTTTTATTGAAATACTCTCTTCTTTGGGTGCTCCCACGTGGCTGCAGAAAACCAGGAATATGATGAGAGAGGGTAGTAAATAATGAGAACCCTAAACTCTGTTGTGAACACGCTGAGCTCTGGGTGTATATCTTTGAGAAAAGGCCTTTATGGAAGCTTTGAACCAGCTGGAATTACACAGGTCATACATAGGATCTCTGCTCATGAAGTTGCCTGGGTAGGAAGACACACCAGTTTGCTTTTTTTGGAAGCTTTGAAAACAATGACATCGTTGGCAGAGCGGAGGAGGAGGAAGGTGGTGCTGCTCTTGGCTGACATTTAAAAGACTTGGTGTTTGCTGGGTTTTGTGCACAGCAATTAAGCCTGAAGCAGTCAGTGATCAGTGAGCTGCAGGCTTCATGACAGAGCCTTTTGAGTCAATGTGAGGAAAAAGGTGAATGGAAAAAGTGCTCAGGCAGCGATGAATGAGAGCTTTGTAAGTTGTCAGATGCTTCCAGTGACACATCAGTAGGAGGCTGAAAGGGAAAAATAAACACAGGAGTAGAGCAGAATAGAGACTGTTATTTGAAACACATCTAAGTGATCTTGCTGCATGGACTTGAACAGGGACAAAGCTATTTTATATGCTGGCTGGTTGTAAGGTGGTGTGCAGTTCTTAGCAGTGAGTGCTGCAAGGCAGGACTGCTCAGACAGCACCTCTGTGTGTGATTGTCTCATTCCCCACTGCATCGATCTCCAGTACTGACAGGGAAGTGAAGATTGCCATTACCTTTGCTGCGTCCCTCTGATCTGTTGATGGCTCAGACAGGCCCCCAGCAGCCCATGGATCGGGGGTTTGATTGTGGCTCTTCAGGTCTGCAGATGGTGACATTTTCGATAATGTGCAGTGTCAGGTATTGAACCACCACAGGGAGTGATGGTGCTGAGTCTGTAAACTCTTTGAAAAGGGAGCTGGGAATAACTTTCGAAAGTCTCTTCAGAGTGTAGCAGGTGGGATTGCACATTGCACCTTGTGAGGTGAGTGAAGGGCAGACATCGTGTTCAGGCACTTGCCGGGATTTGCAAGGGATGATTTCTTAAAGATGAAAAATCCTGATTCTTTTTAGATCTGTGCTGTACAGGGGCTTTAGTTTCAATTAACCTCCTGAGCATTATGCTGACAGAAGTGGCTTTGAACTCTCCTAGTACAAGAAGGCAAGTGCTTTTCCAAATATCTGCATCTACCAGAGGAAGTATTAGAGATGTCTTTTACAAGAATTTCGTGTTCATTTCACTGCAACTTTGAAATCTTCCTTGCAAATTAAGAACCCAAACCTTAATTAACAAATAATCCTGTAATTTCTTTGTGGTACATGAAGCTTGGCTGAAATGCAAAGAACTCAAAACCTTGCATGAATTGTAGTAAATACTTCTGCTTTGTTCACTAGGAGTGCCAAAAGAATGAAGTTTTTACAGGCATGGAAAGTCGCTATGATTGTCACAGTCGAAATTTCAATTTATGATTTTTATGTTTTTCCTGGTTTTCCTAATACAGTAACAATATTCAGGAGCCAAAGTGCAGTTTTCTTACCAGAGGCCCTTTGTCAGAATAGGCAGCTGTGGGTGGAGTAAAAGCTGAGCACAGCTGGTGGTCCAGTTAGCTTAACCACTAATATATGCAAAGCATTAGTAGCACAGAGGTCCCTGGAGAATGGAGAGCACAGGACACTGGAGGAAAAACTCTAGGGGGTTGAAAATCATTTTTCTAGGAGTTTTTGAAGTTCTAGTGGGAGGTGTCCCTGCCCATGGCAGGGGGGTTGGAACTGGATGATCTTTGGGGTTCCCTCCAACCCAAACCGTTCTGTGATTCTGTGATTATCAATCACTGGATGGTAGAATTTGTTTCAGACTGTAACTTGGCAGTCCATTTGGAGCTGTAAAGTGTTGAGTAAAGAAGTGTACTTTTAAAAAGATGTTTTGTAATAGCCAGTATCCCAGAACATGAAGTATTCCCCCAGTGGAGTGATCTCTGCCAAAGAAACGGCAGCTGAGGAGCAGCTCCTGTGCGCTGGCCCGGCGGTGAATGGCAGTGGTGATTTCACCCTGTCAATGGGCTGTCAGTGTGTGTTCCCATTCATTGCCTTCCCAAAGGGAGGCTTGCAGGTGCGTGCCCAGAGAGCAGCAGCTCCCAGGGAGGCTCAGGCAGGACAGCTGTGTTGAATTAGGCATTTTCCTCACTGTAGCTGGAAAGGGATGTAGTCTGGGAGAATTCACGCTAGAAACCATTCCTCCCTTATAGGCAGAAGGAAAACACTACCTAGAAAGGTTTATTTTGCAGGCTCCAAACCCTGCCAATGCAAATCCAGCCTTTGAGAGTGGTTTGCTTATAAACAAGGCTTCAAGAGGCCTTTTGACTGCTGCTTTAAAACGAAAAACAACAAGAAAAAAAATTTTAAAGGGCCGTGATTTCATTCTGCTGTTTGTTTTGACTGCAGGCTGGAAATACCAGGTTTACCAGTTATTGCACCCCAATCTGGTAGGATTTTCAGGTTCCATTCTGCTGCTGCTGCACTGATGGTTCTGACAGATTAACCGGGACTGAATGGTTCAACCTCAGCAGTCTGGGGAGGCACGTCCTGCCCTTGGCTCAGCTGTGCAGTCAGCAGGAGCAGGCTGGAATTCTGTGCGTAGCTGTGCGTGTGTGTGGGGAGAAATACATCGCCTCAAAGCCTCCTCTTGTGCCACGGGGAGGGTGGCAGCAACTCTGGCTGCTCCCCAGGTGCTTGTGGCTGCCAGGTGTGTTTGTTTGGGGACAGCAGTGCCTTCAGTTCCTGCGGTGCCACACCCAGCTGGGACAGGGGCTGAACCTGCAGCACTCTGGGCTGGGGGCACAAGCACTTGCTGTGTTATCAATGAACTATTTTCAGCACAACTTGGACGGCGTTTGAGTGCTCTTGAAAGTTTGGTGTGCCTGTGCCTCGTGTTATAAGAGATGGGAGATGAAGTTTGCGTTGCTCGGTCCCGTTTTGGAACTCGCCGAGCCGAGAGTCACATCTGGGATCTCCTTTGGGATATCAGCTACTGGAAAGGCACCAAATTGCTCTGCCATCTGGCAGTGTTCCTGTGGCATTTCTTGCCAGTCGTGCTGGTGCTGGTGCCAGTTTCTGGCACTGCTGGTGAGGAGAGTGAAGTGCAGCTTGTGGAGCGTCTCCACCACACTGCTCTGAGCTTGGTGCTGGGGCAGAGCTCTGGGGAGGGCTCTCTTTGTACATCCTGATGTCCCATCTACATCCTGGACATGCCACCACTTCCCAGTGCTAGAACAGAGGCTGGGCCAGCAAGAACTTCACAGTGATTTTTCCCAGGTGCCTTTTACCCCATACCACCCTTTTTTTTGTCCTCTTTTGCTTTCTGGAAAGGGTAGTGAGAGATGGAGAACTGTTCCCCAGCGTCCTCAGTGCATTACAACATCCTGTTCTGAAGGGTTTGCTGGAGCTTCCTTTATAACAGGCCATTATCAAGGTTCCTGCTATTCCAAAGTTCTCTCCAAGGATTTACTGACAGAGATAAAAAGGCACTGGGATCTGTTTGAAATATGCAGTGATGGGTCATCTTTTGCCCTGAAAGCCCCACTGGCTTCGTTTATTGCACAATGGGGAAGATTTTATTCAAAATTTTAAAACCACTCTTGATATGAATTGGATACTAATTCCAGGAGCAGGCTTTTTTTTAACATTTCTAGATTCCTTGGAATGTTAGTTTAAGAAGTTACTTATTTTATTTAGCAGATATGAGAGAAATTTGCTGAGTGCTGGTGGGATTACACCAACACAAAATTGGAAATTACAGTTTCTAGAGAAATTCATGTTGGAAATCTGAACCACACAATAATAACATTGGTGAGAAGGCATATTTTTCATTTTCCATGAAAGCAGCTTTAGTAGTTCAACAGAGGTGTAAGGTTTCCATCATTTACATGTTGGTAGAGATTGAAAGTACTCCAATTTTTTCTCTATTAGAAATCCTTAAAACTTGCCAATTGTTATTAATTTTGTTTTAAAAAAGGAGTTTTGTGAGTAGTCAGTATTTCAACTATTGTCAGAAGCGACCTGATCCAACATTGTCAGTTTATACCAATCACCTGCCTAATGAATTTCACTTCAGATGCTGAACATGCTCTCTGAATTGTTCACAGTCAGGTCTCATGGCACCCATTGAGCATTCTAAAATCTGGTCTGCAAACATGTTCTTTTTTACTGATCCCCTAAGAATTCTAAGATGAAAGCTTATTGGAAAGATTTCTAATGATTTTAGACTTTGTAAGTGCAGACTGAGTAGGAGGGAGAAGGTGTAAATCAAAACTGGGTTGCTTCTCTTTACCTTTGAACTGATTTTTTTATTTT